ATCAGGAATCCCACCTTCCTGCTCTCAGAGGGGTATTACAGTCCTCTTTATCTGGCTCCTGTGTCCTCAGTGCTCCCTAGGTCTCATTCTCTGTGTCGACACCATCCCTTTTGGCCACGGGGGTCCTTAATCTTGTATCAACACCAGTGAACAAGGAGGTACCCTCCTCCCATCAGTTCAAAAGTCTATGTTCAGGCAACAGAGCTAGGATACTGCTCTCACCTATCAAGATTCATTCTGCATTGCGTGTTATTTCAACTATTTTTGAGTGCCTACCATGTTGCAGGCACTATATGTGTCCCAAGGAAGAGAAAAAACAGATCACTGTCCTCAAGAAACTTAGCACCTCATGGGGAGAACTAAACATACTACTGACTTGTGATAGGAAGGAAGAGCATTGGGTGCCAAAAGGAGGGTCTGTGCAAGTGAACTTCTCCAGAGGGTTACATTTGAGCCATGATCTGAAGAATGAGTAGCTGTCAGCCTGAAGCAGAGCAGCCTGGGCACATGCAAAAGCCCAGACCTTGGTAAGGACTTAACTCCACTGGAAAAAGGATACCACAATATTCCAAGAGATCTAAAATCTGCCATCACAATAGTGGATTATTTAATAATCCATAATAATTATGGATTATTACCTATAATAGCTAGAAAACAGAAATAACTCAAGTATCTATCAACCAATGAATAAAATGTGGTATATCCATACAATGGAATATTATCTGGCCATAAAAAGGTATGAAGTACTGATTCCTGCTGCGAACCTTGAAAATATTACACTAAGAAAGAAACCAGACTCAAAGGACTCCATAATGTGTGATTCCATTTAGGTGAAATGTCCAGAACAGGTAAATCTATAAAAACAGAAAGATTCACCGTTGCTTAGAGCCAGGGGGAGGAGAAGAAGGGGAAATGACTGCTACCTATACGCGTTGTTGGGGGAACATGAAATTGCTCTAAAATTGATTGCAACAATGGCTGCACAACTCTGTGAAATTACAGTAAAGAATAATAAAATTTGAAAAAAAAAGAATAATAAAATTTGCTAAAAATAGGTGAATTGTATCGTATTGAATAGTATCTTAATAAAGATTAGTATTGTTAAGATTTAGATTATTACTATTACAAATAAAAACCTGTAGTCACAGATCCCAGGCTAAGAATGCCACATATGGAAGTGCATGTCCTGTTTATTTTTCCCTTTATGTTGGAACCCAATATGCGTTCATCAAAGGGCTAGGTCAAGAGACAGTTGACTGCTCTCAAAACTATCCCTTCCTGTGACCCCAAAACGGTTCTCTGAAACCCAGCTTCTGCACAGGACTTTTCTATCCTCAAGAGGTGTCACTCTACTAGTTGGCATTCAGCAGAAATAAAACCCTAAAAGGGAAGGGTCTTTGTCTGGGGGCCAGCAATCTGTCCTCAGGGCCTGCTCCCTGCTCTAAATATCTCTGGACTTTGATGTAAAATAAACTTCTGCTTTTCCATCAGCCCCATCGACATGCCTACACAATCAGAATTTCCAGGAGTAATTCTCATACCTATGACTTGATGCTATGTCTTTACAAGGAATGCAAAGGACTCTTCTTGCTCACCTCTGGACTTTTTCAGGCCCACCCATGGATTGCAACACTTCCAAGATCCAAATTACCTTCTCCTTCCTTCGTGAGTGTTCCCCAGTGTAGCAATATTCTGGCTGTCTACAATCCGTTTCCTCTTTTCTGGTAAGAACAACTGTCATATTGTGATTTATAATTTTTTTAAAAAAAATGTGTATTTGGTCTTCCATTTCCAGCACAGAGCTCCTAAAACTCTTGGCATTTTCGGAGATGAGAGCAATAAATGTCTTTTGTTATGTTAATAAGGTGACTTTGGAAAAGCACCTTAGGATGGGGGCTGGTTGCCAGGAGAACCAACCTTGTGATTAGAAGGTTGAAACTTTCAGTTCCACCCCCAACCTTCTCCAAAGTTGAATTAATCACCAATAGCCAGTGATTCAATCATGCCTATGTGATGAAGCCTCCATAAAAACCCAAAAAGGAGGGCTTTCAGAGGGCTTCCAGTTGGTGAATATGGAGATTCTCAGAGTGGTGTACTCGTACTCAGAGAAAACATGGAAACTATGAGCCTTTTCCCTATCCCTTGCCCCAGGAATCTCCCCTACCTGGCTATTCCCAAATCAGATCCTTATATAAAAGCCAGTGATGGCGACGCCTGGGTGGCTCTGCGGTTGAGCGCCTGTCTTTGACTCAGGATGTGATCCTGCGGTCCCAGGATTGAGTCCCACATCCCCGTTTCTCCCTCTGCCTATGTCTCTGCCTCTCTCTCTGTATCTCTCATGAATGAATAAATAAATAAAATATTTTAAATAAATAAATAAATAAAAGCCAGTGATCTAGTAAGTAAAATGTTTCTTTGAGTTCTGTGAGCTGGTGTAGCAAATTAATCAAAGAAGGGGTCATGGGAACCTCTGGTTTAGGGCCAGGGGGTCGGAAGCATAGGTAAGAGCCTGGGTCTGATGTGGCATCTGAAGTAGGGGTGGGGTGGGGAGGGCATACTTGTAGGACTGAACCCTTAATCTGTGGAATCTGATGCTATCTCTGAGTAGATAGTATCGGAATTGTCTTAAATTGGAGGACACCCAGCTGGTGTCAGAGAACTGTTCCTTCTTAGCATGGGGAGTACCCTCCATACACTAGGATTGGTACTCAAACATTTCAGCATCATTACACGAAGGTGAGGGGGAACCCTTCTAGGGAACCACCTTTTCCCCCCTGCCAGTTCAGGAGGCTGCAATAGGGCTACACTGCCGGCTCCCAGGATGGACCATGTATCCCCCAAGCTCTTTTCCTCACATCACTGAGTTTCAAACTTGAATTGTAAGAAACACAATATGATGTGGAACCTCAATATATATTTTTTTTTTTAAAAAAAAGGAGAATTGAAGGGAGTAAATGTCCCAGGGATCCCCTAAAGTGTGACTTTGAAAAAAAAATTACTAACCTTTTCCCAGTAGGATATAATATTCTTATCAACCTTACAAGACAAAGAGATATACCTAGGCCTTTTTCTTTCCTTTTTTGCAGGATAACATAGAGTAGTGGTTCAAAGTATCATCTCGGGGGGATCCCTGGGTGGCGCAGCGGTTTGGCGCCTGCCTTTGGCGCAGGGCGCGATCCTGGAGACCCGGAATCGAGTCCCACGTCGGGCTCCCGGTGCATGGAGCCTGCTTCTCCCTTTGCCTATGTCTCTGCCTCTCTCTCTCCTCTCTGTGTGTTCTCATGAATAAATACATAAAATCTTAAAAAAAAAAAAAAAAAAAACAAAGTATCATCTCGGGACACCCGGGTAGCTCAGCGGTTGAGCGTCTGCCTTTGGTTCAGGGTGTGAGTCCGATGTCTTGGGATCGAGTCCCACATCGGGCTCCCTGCACGAAGCCTGCTTCTTTCCCTGCCTGTGTCTCTGCCTCTGTGTCTCTCATGACTAAATAAATAAAATTCATTTAAAAAAGAAAGTATCATCTCTCACACTACTGGAATCCAAATACCACTCAACTACTCGCAGGCACGCTGGCCTTTGGCAAATGACTTTAAACTCTCTAAATCTCTGAACGGGATGACGCTTCCCCAACTGTAAAATATGAACTTAAAGACGAGTACGCACCACAAACGATTGTTTTATGAATTGATAAATGAATTAATTTCTGGAGCTGTGTGCAATGAAAGAACTTCTCTAATGGATCTTAAAGCACGTTGCGAACTAGAAGGACCTTTGGGAAATTTATTCTTGCTAAATGAAATTAAGCATCGGTACTGCCTTTTACGGAAAATTGAGGTTAATTCACCTCAGCAAGAGGGAGCTGAAGCCTTGCTTATGGCTGTGTTTCTGATTTATTAGCAATAAGCACACGATATCAGAAAATAAACTCTTGACACTCCTGCAAGTAGAGGAGTAATTTTTGTTTAGAATGACTCCTCCCTTTCAAAACTCTTTCAGCTCTTCTCCAGAATATTCCGGAAAGCTACCGCTTTAGGAGCTAATCCGCTTTTCATCCCCGTCCCCGCTCTGAGCTTGAGAGCACGGCGGGGCTGGGGCGCGCAGGGGCTCCGCGAGCTCCCGAACAGCAGCCGTCGCAAGGCCCTCAGCCGCCGTCCGCCTGCTGCTGCGGGGCCCGGGGAGAAGCTAAGGCGAAGAGGAGCCCGGGGGCATCCGCCCGCGGGAGGACCCGCTGAGCAGCAGACAAGAGACAGTTTGCCTCCGGAATCCGGGCGCGCGGCCCCGTGCGCGGCGGGAACCGCGGAGCGCTCCCCCCAGGCCGTCCAGGGAGCGGAGGGAAGGGAAGCCGCGCGCGTGCGCAGGGTCTCGGGGGCCCGCAGCCCCGGCCCCGGCGTGGGGGCTCAAGGCGGGGCGGCGGGGGCACGTGGTGCGGGGCGGCAGGGGGCGCAGCGGGGCGGCGGCGGGAGCAGGGGCACAGCGGGACAGGGGGCGCAGCGGGGGGGCGTGGCGGGGGGGCAGGGGCGCAGCGGGGCGGCGGGGGCACCTGGTGTGGGGCGGCAGGGGGCGCAGCGGGGCGGCGGCGGGAGCAGGGGCACAGCAGGGCGGCAGGGGGCGCAGCGGGGGGGCGTGGCGGGGGGCAGGGGCGCAGCGGGGCGGCGGCGGGAGCAGGGGCACAGCGGGGCGGCAGGGGGCGCAGCGGGGCGGCGACGGGAGCAGGGGCACGGGGGGGGCGGGGGGGCACCTGGTGTGGGGCGGCAGGGGGCGCAGCGGGGGCGGGGCGGCGGGGGCACCTGGTGTGGCGGGGAAGAGAGGCGCAGCGGGGTGGTGCGGGGGCAGAGGGGCGGCAGGGGGCGTAGCGGGGAGGAGGCAGGGGCGCGGCGTGGCGGCAGGGGCGCAGCGCGGCGGCGGGGGCAGGGGGGCGGCAGGGGGCGGGGCGGCGGCGGGGAGGGGAGGAGCGCGGCGGGGCGGGGGCAGGGGCGCAGCGGGGCGGCGGCGGGGAGGGGAGGGGAGGGGAGGGGCGCGGCGGCGCGGGGAGAGGCGCGGCGGGGAGCGGCGGACGGGCGCGCGGCGGGTGAGCGCGGCGGGGGACGCAGAGAGCCAGCCCCGGGGAGGCTGGGGCCGAGGGACGCGGGACGGGACTCGGGGCTGGGAGGGGGCGAGAAGGGCCGGAGGAGGCGAGGGCCGAGCGGCTGGGCCGCGGCGCTCCCCCGCCCGGGTGCTTCCCGGACCGCGCCGCTCTCTCGAGGGCTCCTTCCCTCTAAAAGCCCGGAGGCAGCGGTGGAGCGGAACCGCCTGAGCGACGGCGTTTGATCCGTCCCCTTCTGTCCCTGGGGACTTGCTTGTGTTTCTGGGTTTTCTTTCTGTGTTTGTTTCGTTAGTTTCTCCATTTTCTGTTTCCTCTCCATGTAGTTTTCGAGTCATACACCATACCCAGAACCGCATCCTTTTCCCCCAAGAGACTTTTTTTTTTTGACTGTGTCGTTTTAAGAAGATTTGACTTAGGCAACTTGAATTCTTTGTACTAAGTGTCTTCTGTGAGTAGAGGTACAAGATTTCGAGAGTAATAGCCCCTTCCCAGCGTTTCAGTGTTAACATACAAAATTCACGTCAAGCCTTAGGCTGGAGAACATTCTATTTGCTTCCGATACACACTATGAAGAATACTAAAGCTTGGCATTACCTAGTTTCTTTAAAATTCAAACTTACAAAATAGCAACCATTATCTGTTACCGTTGTTGTGACCTTTTGCCCCTTCTCTTCCTGGAGTTTCAGTGTCCACAGAATCAGCAAATTTTTGCTCATTTAGTGTATTGCTCTGTGCAAAAAGATAGATTTTTGAAGCTGTTCCTGCCCCCTGGTGGCTTGTCTTGTAAAGAGCCTAATAACTGATGCAGTTTTTGAGGAAAAGCAAGTGTTTGAGGAATAAGAAATTATCTTGGCAGATCAGGGAATGTTTGCTAGCTTTCCAGTGAGTTTTAAAAGTTGGCTGGCCTCGAGGGCCTGAAGTGGGAGATGTCATTCCAGATGAGAGCGCTTCAGGAGAAAAGAAGCAGGCCAGACAAGGTAGGGAGGAGCAACTGCGATCAGTTGAGCGGGTGCATTCAGGCATGAAGAGATCTATACGGAGACCTAGATCAGTGAGTTTGGTTATTTCTCCTACAGGAGCCATGGGGGAAGTTATTGGCCTTTCTGAGCAGGGCAAAGGCAGGACCAGAAATGTCTGTGCTGCCAGGAGATTAGCCGGGCAGTCTGTGGATTGATGGAGGAGAGTGGGGATTAGAGCAATCATTCCCAATTCTGACCCACACCCCCACAGGCTCTATGTTTCTGAAATTTTTTAACCACACTGCATGTACATGCACTTAATTTTATTTCTTTTGATCAAAAGCGGATATAAAACTACCCATCCAAGATTCTGACAGTCCTAAGAATATCAATGCCATTGCCCTAAATATGAAATGGATGCAGCTGAAAGCTCAGAATACAGAAGTCTAGTGTGAACAGCTTAGTAGTGTTTGAATTAAGAGACTTTTAGCAATGAACCTAGCTCTTGAGTCTTATCACTTGAGCCTTCTGGAGTCCCTTTGGGCCCCTTGGTCCTGAGGTTGTGCCCGTTGGTCTAGATAAGAAGTAACAAAGGGTAAGTTCTGAGAGGGGCAGTGAGGGGTGGGGGAGGGAAGGATTGTAGGGAAGGAAGAGAAGAACATTGAAACGACTTAGTCCCTGGATGGACCAGAGTAGTGAGAGTCGGAGAAGCAGTACCAGTAAAGCTGAAATGGCAGGAAAGAAGGCCCTGGTAAAAAACAAACAATCCTTGCTAACATCCTGTAGCCATCTGACAAAACTTCATAGTTGTACTTACTATGTGCCTGGCTCTCTTGTTAAATCACTCTATAAGAATTAATTCATTTAATTTCAACAACCTATGAACTATGACTACTGTTATTTACAGGAGTGAGAACGAAAGCACAGAGAAGGTGAATAACAGTTCCAGGGGCGCCCCGCTGGTAAGTGGTGGAGCCAGGATGCAGACCCATGACGTTTGACTCCAGAGCTAGTGCTCCAACCCCTCCACTGTAAGGAACAAAGGAAGAAATCTGAGGGGACAGGTTGGCAGGTTCACTTTGAAGTGTCTGGAGTTCAGATGCTTGTAGGAGTGCTGGGTGAGGATTTGCAGCAGGCATAGCATCCATCTCAGTTAATGCACAGACATTCCTCTGGGATGGACAGGGCCTGTGTCATGGCCTTGTGTTTTCCTCGTGGACTCCCATTTATCTCTCAAAACCTCCAACAGGATTTTAGTTTCATCTTCAAACTAGGAAAAGTCAGAGAAATCCTAGTATCCCATATATCAGATAAGGTGCCCCTTTATTGCCCTTTTGTACAGAGCAAAGCTACTTGAAGGATTTGGGCTTAATTTCAGGAGCAAGTTTGGCTAGGCACATACCTGTAAGGGGAAGTATCTTGTTGGTTTTCTACAAAAGCAGTACATTTTGCCATCCTGTGCCCTTTCATGTCTTTTTCCTTGTTTTGTCCTGTTTCAGATTTTAAGGGCTCTCCCAAGCCAGAAGTCTTGGGGGATATAGAAAGTAGAAGATACGATCTTTGTACTCCATTAAGTTTATATTCCCGTTTAGAGAGATGAGATGAACAGTTATAAAGAGCAAACAAAATGAAAATAGTTTGTAATCACTACATTATGTAGGTCAAATTTAAGTATAGTAGGCACTGGGATTTTAAATGTGCCAGTGACTTCAGAACTGTGATATACCCCATCTTGTCCATTACATATAGGCATCACTGGGCTTGCTTTAAGCCAACCATCTTTTGTTTAATTGTCACGAAATACTATCTGATTGTATTTTCTTCTGTAGTTGTTAGACTTTGCGTTTGTGGCTTTGAATTTTTATGTCTTACAGCTCAAAAAATAATGCACTTCTATAACTAGTAAATGGCAAAGATGATAACTGAACTAGCAGTCAGCCTGTGGAATCGAAGCTATTAGCTATGATACTCTGTTGCTTCTCATTGCCTGTTTTCAACAACCTCTAGACTTTCTTCCACTAGTTTAGACAGGTGTACTCTCTGCCAGATGGTGAGAGATCCCTTTTGCCCCAAATGAGTAGAGTCAGGTTGAGTCTCTCAGCAGATCTCCCTGTGTGTGGAAGTCATCATCCAGCTACAGTTTAAACACCTCACTCAGTTACTCACATATTCATCACTTTTTAATTGAACATAAGGTGTCCAGCAGGTAACTCAGCACAGGAAAAGCAAAGACAAATGAAATGTATTACCTGTCCTTGGGAGCTTGGTCTAGTGGGTTGAGAGGTGCATAAACACTTATGATGGAATTTACATGGTTTACTAGAGGCGGGAAAACAGGGCAAAACTGGCCAAAATTAGAATATGAAAGGGAAATCTGAAGATAGTGAAGCAGATCACACTGAAGCCCTTAAAACTTGTAAGCGCTGGATTTAGGTGAGATCGTTGCTTAAAAGAATGAAGATACGGAAAAAGGGATTTCCCTTTTCTCCTGACTATACTATAATTTAAGTAATAGTTTCTTTATGTATTTGACCTCCCTGAGTTAGATTCATGTTCCTTCTTGAGCCTGCTGTTACTTACCTCTGCTCCTCGAGGTTTTAGACTGCCTGAATCACCTGTTTAAAGTGGGAGGCCTTTCTGATAGTTCTCTCCCAGCACACTGCTCCCTTCTCCTCTCCCCCCTTCTCTTGTCTTTAAAAATAGTCTCCTCCTCTGCAGAATTAAGCTCTACATTTTACATTCTGTTCGTTTGCTCTCAGTGTTTGTGTACATATAAGCATTCTTCATAGTTCTAAACTGGGAATGGACTTTGCCTGGGAGTTTTATCATTAATTGACATTCCTTGAAGAAGGAGAGGAATTGCATTGTATGTTTTGCAGACTTTTTTCAGCAGCTCAATGGCTTCCCCGAAGAAGAAGCTTCAAGGTCTTGTTGCTGCAACCATCACACCAATGACTGAGCATGGGTAACTATCATTTGGGACCTAAGGGGGTCTGTTCTCCCTCCACCAAAAATGGACAGAAGTTCTAACAGCAGTCACTTAGATCTCTGCGGTACTGTTGCCAGGTAGCTATTTCTGTCATCCTCTCTGTACTGTCTCTAATCCCAAGTCAGATAAGAGGTCTCTATATCACAAACTGCAGAAAGAGAGAAGGTGAAATACGATCTTGCCTTTCTCCCAGTGTCGGTAGCTCCACAAAAGAAATTCATTTTGGATTTGCCCTGACTTTCCCAAATAAGGCCAGTGGAGTTGGATGAGGAGAATCTCATTTTAGCAGAATTTGCTCCAAATCCCTGGCCTGGGCCCCTCTAGATCCTGTCCCTAGATAGCTGCATGATTCCACTTCAGGCTATTCACAGATGTGATGAAAATGTCCTACCCTGAGGAAACTGGGGAAGTTAACTGCAAGATGGACCCCTTAGTATATTTACAGTCTCATTTCCACATGGGTTAAATGTTGGGGGCCTGCAGGAGTGAGAGGTAGCAACAGATGATTGCTGAGAACTCATTATCCAAACAAGCACTTAACTCCCAGGCGAATGTTATGGCAGTCCTTTGCTTGTACTGTCAGCTAACGGTCATGTGCCATGGGTGTCCACATGCTGTGTATAACCCCTCTGGACATTGCATGAACATAAGGGGATTTATCTAAATGCATTTGACATGTTAGGGGGCTCAGTCTGCCAAAACAGAATTCTAGCTTCTTTAAGCCTCTGGTTTCTTTCTTTTTAAAATACAATGATAATTAACCTGCATGGTGGAGTTCTGAGCATCAAAGCAAGATAATCCACATAATGGTGCTCAGCACAGGGTCAGGATGCACTTAGGTCAGTAAGGTTCCTTTGAACCATTATTGTGGCATCAGATGGGAATAAAAGGAAGGTGTGGCACTTAAGATATCTTTAAGAAAAGCTTTTAGTTAGTTTGGTCTTCTGTTGCTGAATTTGCAAACCTTTACCCTACTCCTTTATTTTTTTAAATATTTTGTTTAGGGGATCCCTGGGTAGCTCAGTGGTTTAACGCCTACCTTCGGCCCAGGGCATGATCCTGGGGTCCCGGGATCAAGTCCCGCATCAGGCTCCCTGCATGGAGCCTGCTTTTCCCTCTGCCTATGTCTCTGCCTCTCTCTCTCATGAATAAATAAATAAAATAGTTTAAAAATAAATAAATAAATACAATATTTTGTTTATTTATTTGACAGAGAGCACAAGCAGGGGGAGTGGCAGGGAGAGGGGAAAAACAGGCTTCCTGCTGAGCAGGGAGCCCAACTCAGGGCTCCATCCCAGAACCTTGGGATCATAACCTAAGCCAAAGGCAGACACTTAAACAACTGAGCCACCCAGGTGCCCCTACCCTACCCCTTTAAAATAGGTGAAGTTTCTTAGGACTTAGTATTCTCATTCCAAGTTGGCCGAATCACAGTTTACCATTAGATCACTGGAGTTCAAGACCTCCAGCTTCTCAATTTCATGAAAAATCCCATCCTGACTAGATCTAAATCAAATTCATGCTGAGATGGCATTTAGATTACTCAGTGATTCATAGCAATTTCTTTTCTGTTGCTTCTCCATCTCCGTAAGTTCCGAGGAAAGGCTGAAGTCAGCTCTTTGTGGATGTGCTAGCCACTTGTGAGGCCAATAAAATAGATAAATCATGTGATTGCATGGGCAGGCAGGATTCACTTCCTGTTATTGAGAAGGATTCTGTTTGCAGGCTCCCAGCACTACATCTGGTTGATGCTGCTGTAACCTTTTTAATCAGACCCCTCAGCCTAGAAGAAGCTTCTCAAACAGTCTCATTTGTACATGTGGGACTCAGTGTGTTGGTGTGTTCTTCCTCCCTATTCTGCTATTTTCCAGAGGATGCCAGACCCTATGTATGGAGATAAATGACTCTGCTTTTCTGGATCCTTCTCTATCCCCAAGACCTCTGGCCCTGCTTTCTCTATTTCTCTGTTTTTTTCTTTTTTCATCAATTCTTTTCCCTTCCAGGACGTTCTAGGACCTTCACTTTCCTGATGTGTGAGATCAAAATAAGAATGCATTTTTTTTTTTTGCGAGGGTCTTAAGAATTAAATTAAAACGTATGTCAGTACATGGCACGTAGTAGGCATGTAAGCTATATTAGCTCCCCTTTCTCCCACCATCTGCTCCATCCGAACATTACTGTGGGTACAAAACAAGATTGGAGCAGCCACCGAGAGCAGGTCGGCATTTGCCTCCTTGCCCGCAGGCAAGTGTGAACTTCTGACATGTTTCTGGAAAGAAGGGTCACATGGAATCGAATAACTGGAAATTCTGGCTGGTGACCTGCCATCAGGGGTGTTTTCCTAACCTGGCTCATAACGTTGGCCACAGTCTCCATGATTAAGAATGGCTGAGCAAGAGCTGTTGCCCTGCGTCCTTTTTTCTTTATAATTCTAAGAAATACTCAGATTCAAATCTGAATATAAGTTGATGTTTAAAGTGGAGAAGTTGGCAGGAAGAACTTAGTTAAATGGGTTTTAGTTAGAGTATCTGGGTTCTTGAGCTCCAGCTTTACCATCAACTAGCTGTCTGACTCTGGGGAGGCCTTGTCACCTGTTAAAAGTTCTCTGTCAGAGTAAAGAGTTCGGCCGTATCATCTCCAAGGCCCATTTGAATTCAGAGAGGGTAGCCTCTGGTGTTAAGAATCTCTGCTGACTCCTTTTTGTCTCAGGCTTACTACTCATCATATGGTCCATGGACTATTTGCTCTACATCACATGGAACTTGCTAGAAAACCAGAATTTCAGGCCCTACTACATACCACTGAATCAGAATGTGCATTTTAACTGTCCCTTTAGCACCATAAAGTCTGAGATGAACTGATCTAAAATTAAAGCCCAGACTGCCCAGGATACCTCTCCTGCTACATTTCTGTTTCGCCAAACACTTTGTGTTCTTTCTTCTCTCTGTGCCTTTATACATTCTGTCTCCTCTGCCTTTTTCTCCCATCATCCTCTCCTCTCTCTACCGCACATGAACACTTCTACTTATCCATCAAAACCATCCTCTGGTGGTGCTTCCCCATTTCCAATAAAGAGTTAGAGAGTCCTTCCCCTGTGATCCCACAGCAGCCTGTGCATGCCTTTTCACATTACATCAGAATTATTTATGACAACTACTATAATAACTGTTTGTTACATGCGTGTCTCTCCCAACAAGCATTGAGCTGCTTCACTTTATTCCACAGATATTTTTTGAGTACCAAGCAGTATACAAGGACTGAACATGTTTATTATTTATCTTTGTTATCTTCAGCATCTAGCACAATGAATGGTAAATTTTGTTATTTCATGAGGAAAAAAAGCTAACACTGATTGGCTAACTACTATTATATGTCAGTCATGCCGGCATTTTAATGTCCATATTCTGATTTACTCTTCATAACAACTCTGAGAGAGAACCACAACTTCTGTTTCTGCAGTTGATGAGACCAAGATCCTAAACATTAACACGCTGCACCTCGCCATATAGCTGGAGAGAAAGGTCTTTCTCTACCTATCTCAACTCTCGTCTTTCTACACTAGAGTAGAAGATGTTTGCTTCCTTTAGTTGTCTCAAGAAGTCACTTCTTCCCATGGAGCAGGTGCAGTTGTTAAAACAGAAAGTCCATTTCAGATTGGCTGCAATGTTAGGAAGAAAGTTGTTTTCTTCCTCAAATGCCTTTGGCTTCACCATGGGAATCCTCACAACACCCTTTAGTAAAAACAGACCGGTTACCCCAGTTAGAAAGGGCCTGGACCACTGGAGTCGGACTTGTGTATTGTCTTTTTCACTGTGTTGGGAGACTACATGACCCAGATTCCCAGAACAGAATGTTTTCTGGCAAGCCAGGGCAGCTGTGGTTTCTGAATACTTCTCCACCAAAGGAGTTTTAAAGTAGCCAAGTAGTTATTATGCCTAAAGCACACATAACTCATCTGATTTTGAATGCTGAGAGTTATATGTAAAAGGCAAAAAAAGAAAAAAAAAGGACGTCAGATTTTTTGACAAGTATGCCAGTTATGGAAAGACCTGCCTGGTGATTCTGTATTCTCAAAATGAAAGTCTTTCACTTTATGTCATACACCAGGAGAGGAAATGAATAGCAATAGAGACTTTTCTCTGAAAAGCCACTTTAGAAAAATTCTATTACCCTTCTACCCTAAGAGAAGAGATACAGCCTACATGCTGTTTCAGACTGTTTCTACTCAGGGCGTCGATTTGTGTCAAAAATAATTGGATAAACATTCTCTCCTCTTACATAGTTTGGAAGTAAACTAAATGTCCAAGGGTAGAGGATTCACTAAATTAATTCTGTTTGTTTATACAATGGAATGCTGTGTAGCCAGTATAGGAACAGAAGATCTGAAGTTGTGAGAAAATACTCCACATGCTAAGTGAAAAATATTACAATACTTTGTACAGTATGACCATACTTATTTAAGAAAATACTGTATTTTGTACTGGTGAATAGAAAAATGTCAAAGGTAATAAGAATAATCATCTCCAAGGAGATAATGGGTTTTCCCCTCCTTTTTTATTGTATGTACTTTCAAAAATAAACCGCATAGCTTCTATAATATGAAAAAAGTTAAGTATTTTTATTAAAAGAAAATCATGGACCTACGGCAAGGAATCCGAACTCCTGGGAATTGAAATTAAGATCCTAAATCAGAATTAAGTAGGGGAGTGACTTCAGCAAGCATGGGATTTGGTTCTGGGTTACTCGGCCGAGGCGGCAGTACTTAGTGTGTTCTTGGGGCTCACAAAGGTAGAGACATTGCCATGGAAAGCCAGTCCTGCCTTTGGAAATGAACTGGCTTGTGCCACTTCTCACTCCTATGAGCAGTGAGCCCCAAGTGGCCATCCAGCAGGGAGGAGAATAATCTGGTCTTACTGCTTGCCTTATCTCTAGTGACTTCCAGATACCTGATACAGTGCTTGCAGCAATAAACATAAACCGACATACCACGGAGAGGTAGATTACAGTGAGAAAACAGGAAAGGGAGCTAAGTACCCAGAGAGAATTATCATCCCGCTCCCACCCTGGTCCTGCTGTTGGGGTACAGCTGTGGGAACAGCTCTAGGGGATTTCCCTGGGCTCACTGGTGACTGTAGCCACTGAGCAACAACACGAAGGGCTGCAAACTTGGACCTCTCGTCAGGCAGAGATCTGAAATCCCTGAGGTGGTCTGGGAAGCTTCTGTGCCTCCAAAGGGGACAGCCACTGCTTTTCCCAGCCATTTGGTGCTGCATAGTAATGTAGGCCTGTCTTCATTAGATCTTCTGGCTTTCATTTTTTTTTAAACAAGAAAACCAATTTTTAACATCATAGAAGTCAAAACATATTTAGGAGCCATCTCCTTACAACCTTTCTTTCTCTAAGGATTTGGTAGTTCCAAAAGACTATCCATCCAAGGACATTTTTGCGTGACTCTATCACTGCCCAGAGATTCTATTATTAGTGTCACTCCTGTAGGCTTACATTCTATAAGAAGCAACCAACTGCCTTCTTGAAGGGATAGATAATGTATCACCCAAATTAGCACCTCTAACCCAAGGGAAATTATAGCTGTCATCCAGCAAAGCCTAAAGGCATAGGAGGACAGGGTCAATGTAGATGTAAGCACTACCCACTGAAGCCATAAAATGTGTGGAGTTCACTGAGGAAGGAGAAGAAACTGGCTTAGATCTGCCTAAGGGTGGGATCCCTGGGTGGCGCAGCGGTTTAGCGCCTGCCTTTGGCCCAGGGCGCGATCCTGGAGACCCGGGATCTGATCCCACGTCGGGCTCCCGGTGCATGGAGCCTGCTTCTCCCTCTGCCTGTGTCTCTGCCTCTCTCTCTCTCTCTCTCTGTGACTATCATAAATAAATAAAAAAAATTAAAAAAATTATAAAAAAAAAGATCTGCCTAAGGGTGTAGCTATCTCCCTAGAAAGAGAAGGACACCAGCACAGGGCCAGATAGCAACCGAAGAACATCAGAGGGAAGAAAGAGCACAGGATTTCATCCTCTTTATTCCAGATCCACCTCCTTCTTGAAGTCTCCTTTCACAGCCTCCCTAATTGGGATGATTCATCCCTCATCTGAACCGCTGTACACTTTTTAACTCAGTCATAGCCTTCAACATATATTCATCAATATTCTAGTTATTTGTATACTGTGCCATCTCCTTTCCTCAGTTAATAGTGAAGTTTAAGTGTAACCTGCAGGTGTGGGGATAAGCTGCTTTTAAGGCAGAGATCATGAGAGTTTCATCATCATTGAGCTTCCACACTCTGCCAGGTGCAGACTAGGGATTGTAAGGTATAAATGGCACAGTGCCTACCTTCACGAGGTCCTTGCTCTAGCCTGGAGGGTGTGCATAAACAATTTACGAGATGATCCTCATAGTAAGAGAGATATGAACTTTGCTGAGGGTGTGAGGTATTTCTGGGTTTTGTCATGAGGGAGTAGTGACAGCAGCAATGATTGTTTCAGTGGAGCCAGGTAGAGTGCTGAGCCCATGTACTAGACAGGCCATTAGAGGCCTACTCACAGAATGGGTCCCTAACTGAGTTTAGAGTCCAATTTGGAGATATACACATACACCCCCTAACAGAAACAGTTTCTCTCCTTAAGTATTTCTGAAAATGGAAACAAGCTCTCTTACTTCCCTTTCCAAAGAAACATTAGATCAAACCAAAAGAACACACATCAAAGTGAGTACAATTACCTACCAGCCCTTGACCATCTGGAGCTCTACAGGCTCCTCCTTGGTGAAGAAGCCAAGCCTACTCTAGGTGATCTTGAGTACACAGGCTGGAATAGGATTGAGGAGGTGTCAAGGTTTCAGTGAAAGTGTACAGGAGCCACCATATTGAAATCTGTGATTCTAATGCAGGCTGTTGCCCACTAGGTTTATTTCCAGTTTCCAACCTGTGATTTGGAAGTGTGATTGGGAGCTCTTTCCTGGTTGCTTGCATTAGCAGGATGGACATTATTGGTCAAAAATCTGAGTTCATGTGCAAACAAAGCTGCTGCTGATGGTTCCTGCATCTCAGAGCTTATCCCAAGTGGTGATGGGCTGGTGGAAGCAGCCAGGAGCCAGTTCCAAATGGTCAGGAATGTCTGAGGTATAGACATTTCAAGTTGCGCAGGTCAAGCCCACCTAAGTGAGGGTGTTGAGATAGATTATCTAGGCAGATAACTTGCCCATCCTCCCTTTAGGTGAAAACAACCTAAATTTGGTCCTGTTGTGCATTCAGGGAGCCTCCCTGCTCAGCAAGACAGAGGCCATAATTTGGCATTTGAGCAGGTGGGGCAAGGAGAGCAAGGTTAAAATACCAGGAGCCATCAAGGAGGGAGTCTGCTCTCTTTAAAGCAGGTCTTCCCAAGTGGCTGGCTCAGCTGTCATTTGCATGTTGTGAGTAGTGATCACCTGTGCATTCTTTGCTTTTATCTCTCCTGTTCCTACTACCTGTGATAACTACATTTGATTTTTTTTTGTTTTTTATATGCATCAGATTGATTTTTTTTTGTTTGTCAAGGAATACAATAAGATGAAAAAGATGTTAATAAGATTGAAATGAAACTTAATTCTCTGGCCCCGTCCACAAAATGTAAATGGAAGCCAACTAGTACTTTTTGTTCTTGGCGATGTAACTGTGGGTTCTGTGATATTTAATACCTGCTGGCCATAGCCACAGTTTTCCTTTGGATTTTCACTCTCCATCCCCCATCATCCTCACCTGCATTTTGATTGAGAACAGGTCACTTTATATGACGCGTGTGAGTCACTTTCTAGATTTTAAAATCAATATGATTTTAACGAAACGAGCCCTTTTTTTTAAGAGCCCTTTTTTTAAAAAAATATTTTATTTATTCATTCATGAGAGACACAGAGAAAGAGGTAGAGACATAGGCAGAAGGAGAAGCAGGCTACCAGTGGGGAGCCCGATGCGGGACTCCATCCCAGGACCCCAGGATCACAACCTGAGCCAAAAGCAGATGCTCAACCACTGAGCCACCCAGGTACACTTATTGCCTTACGTGTCAGAGCCTTACAAGTTCGTTGCTCTTCAAACTGCCCAATGTGTGCAGATCACAAGGGGATCCCCTCACAATGCAGATTTTGGCTGGTAGGTGTATGAGGCTGGGGACTCCGCATTTCTTACAAACTCCCCAGAGGCCTATGCTGCTCTTCCATAGACCATGCTTTGAGAGGCAGAGATAGCAAAATTCCTCTCCAATGCTAATCTTCTTTGATTTAAGGCTAGCAAATAAAACTGAAGCTTTCATAGACTGTCACAAATATTAAGTGCTAAAATTCTTAAATTATTAAGATCGAATTTTCCTATCTTGTAAGCTTAAAAAATGATTGCTTCTCACCAAGTGGAAAATGTGAAATTCTCATTTAACCATGGCCCCAGGGATCCCTGGGTGGCGCAGCGGTTTGGCGCCTGCCTTTGGCCCAGGGCGCGATCCTGGAGACCCGGGATCGAATCCCACGTCGGGCTCCTGGTGCATGGAGCCTGCTTCTCCCTCTGCCTGTGTCTCTGCCTCTCTCTCTCTCTCTCTCTCTCTCTATCATAAATAAATAAAAATTTTTAAAAAAGTCTTAAAAAAAAAAAACCATGGCCCCAATCATCATTCTTCCCCAGAAGGGTAAAAGATCTACTAAGTAATTACTTTTTAAATATTACTTGTAGGGATGCGTAAGTGTAAAACCTTTGCTGACAAGTAATGGTGTGTTGCTCACCTAAGTGAGGCACATACAGATAATAGAAAAATGACTAGACTCAAAAAAAGCAAGGAAAAAAGAAAACAAACAAGGAAAAATCCAGGGGTTATTTAGAGCAAGCTAAGAATTTTACAAACTAGGTAGGTGGACTTTTTTTTTAAATTCAATTTAGTTAACATAGAGTATATTATTAGTTTCAGGGGTAGAATTTAGTGATTTATCAGTTGCATATAACACCCAGTGCTCATGACATCAGATGCCCTCCTTAATGCCCATCACCCAGCTACCCCATCCCCCTACACACCTCCCTTCCAACAACCCTCAGTTTGTTTCCTTAGTTCAGCATCTTTTATGGTTTGCTTCCCTCTCAATTTTCATCTTATTTTACTTTTCCTTCCCTTCCCCTCTGTTCATTTATTTTGTTTCTTAAACTCCACATAGGAGTGAAATTATATAGTATTTGTCTTTTTCTGACTGACTTATTTTGCTTAGTATAATACGGCTGGGTGGACTTTTAATAACTATTAACAAAAGAGAACCACTTATAGATTTGAGGATTGGTTGAATAATAATCTAAAGACTAAATATACATTATTTTTACCTTTTTTTTTCCCATGTCCTTTAGAGAAATCAACTTTTCAGTCATTGGTCAGTATGTGGATTATCTTGTGGAAGAACAGGGAGTGAAGAATATTTTTGGTGAGTCATCTTTAGAGATTTCTCTACATATCTCTAGTCCACTCCTTAGAAAGTAGCTGTCACCTGGTTACTAGGGAGTCACAGTGTCTTGTGTCATAAGTTATGATTGAGCCTAGCTAAGCTAAGTAAAATTTGAGAATCTGTAGACTCATCAATTTTAGACCTGGAAAGTACCTCAAGAGATTATCTAGTTTGGTGGTATACCTTCAAAACAGATAAGGTATTGTTTTTATCCCAACTTAAAGAAGAAAATTTATGGCTCAGATATATTATTTACAGTGCCTAGAGGTACTTAGCCAAGAAATGGTAGAGTGATAGCAAAATCCAGACCTCTCTCTCTTAAGAATGAGCTTTATTGTGTCTTCACCCAGACCTTTCATACAATAAACGTAGAAAGGCTCTAAATTCAGAACACAAAAGAGTCACAGGTCCAGCATTACCCTCATTTATGTCATAGACAGTAGAAATTTTAAAAATCAGACCTAGAACATTTTAGGACTGAGAACTATACTTACCTATGATTGAGTTGCCCCTTGCCTAGTGTTCTGGGTGCTTGGCCCCTTAAACTGGACACTATAGCTTTTTCTCAAGCTACTATTCTACCAACAGGGGCCCCTCAAGGACTGGAAGTACAAGGTCATAATCAAGGCAGATTAAAACTGCAAAAAGGTGTTCAGGGCACATGTTAAAACCAGAATCTGATTACAGAATCATTTGGTGTCCCCCTACAACTCCAAGCCATGGTCAGGGAAGACTGATTCTTATTCTCCAAAGGGCCACAGATCTCCCCTGGGTATAGGGAAGAAGCAGGAACATTTCTACTAGTAGAGCATACTTGAAGTGTCTCAAGAGCCCAAAAGAGTGATAAAAACACTCTTTCCTACTCTCACCCCTGCTTCTCTACCCCAACTGAGTGCTCAGTATTTGGAGATCCAAAATGCTGCCATATGCATTAGGCCCCACTAATGTATCCTAGTGTCATTTGCATACTTTCTGTGGTCCATTAAGAGATTATTGTATTAGAAGGGAAAGTTTTGGAAACACACAGCTCTGGTTTCAAATTTAGTGATTCAGAAACTCATCTTTTTCATCTGTAAATGAGAAGCATCGTTTGTGCTTTGCAGGGTTGTTGTGAGGATAAGTGACCACGCAAGAATGATTAAACAAGAAATATTAATATCCTTGGTGTTTTCTTATGAATTACCATGGCAAGATTGTCCTAGAATCTGCTCATCATGTAAACTATAGCCTGAGGTCATTGTAGACCTGTGGTATGCACCACTGTCCTTGTAACTCCCACTTATGCCCCTTTGACATCCCAGTACTGGGCGGTGTTGATTTTCCTGCCATTCAAGCCAAATAATAGAACTGGGAGGTGTGTTTAGAGGGTTGCCTAAAATGAGGATAGTTATCTAAGTCTGTATTCAAGTACTTGCTATCTGTCCCTGATAGCAAGGACAGATTTGTAATTACAAGTCATAATTCACCTACCTGCTGCTTTGAACAAGGTGAAAATGGAGAAAAAAAAAGTCTTAAAAAAAATTTTAGATAAAAATGGAAACATGGCATTTCCCATCCAGATTCCATCCTCTGATCTTTCCCCTTCCTCTTAAGCAGGGAGTTCTGACTTCAGTGTTGGTGTTGGAGGAGCAAAAGGAACTGGTTGGCCCCACTAACTGTCTCTCTGTTTGGAACAGTGAATGGCACAACGGGAGAAGGCCTGTCCCTGAGTGTCTCAGAGCGTCGCCGGGTGGCAGAGGAGTGGGTGACAAAAGGGCGGAACAAGTGAGTAGCGTTACCAGGATAAAGGCACTCTTCAAGAGAGCTGCCTAGAGTATGGCTCTTTTCTGATGACACAGCCTCCCACCTTCTGGTCAGAGGTCAGGCTCAAGGCATGAGGATCTTGGCACTTTGGCGAGATGCTGAGGCAGAGGAGCGCCCCTCCTTTCTGGGTGTAAGGGCAGCCTGACTGTATGGCCCACCTGGCTCCCAGAGGGCCTGTCTAGAAGCTGGAAGCTGTCCCTTATCTATTGACAAAGCCAATCCCCTGGGTTACTCATCCTTGAACTGAGGGGATGAGAAGGGGGAGTGCTGATGTAAGACTGCTGTCCCATTGCCCTTCTGAACAGCTCCTGGCCCTTCCCCTCTCGGGATGAGTACCTGATGCTTCTTTCAGCCCTTGCTTCCCTACATCTCTGTGCATATGACTTAACATGCTCTTTATGGTGCTTCCTTTTATAGTCTTAGGGAATTTTTGGTATCCTTTAAACTTCAGTGTAATGGTATATTTTTGTTATAATGCTCAATTCATGCCATGGTAAACAAATAGGACAGGATCAGTTCAGTAAGCACACTCAATTCACCAAGAAACAAAGAAATTGTTGTCTGTGATGTTGTGTGTTCCGCACTGTGCTGACACTGGGGAGATGAAACCGTGTTTCTGCCTTCAGCTTGCTTTCCATCCAATGGTGATGTCAGATCATGAAATGTAACACTGATTCTTCTGATAAATAGCATAAACAGGGATGAGAGAAGACAGTGAGAGATGTTGCCTTAGATGGAGGCAAAGATCAGAGGTAAGTGCCAAGTGAGCCTAGAGCAGATATTGTCAGTGTGAAGCCCATGACCTCCTTGGGGATCCTTAAAGGGCTTCAGAGCACCTTGAGTACTCTGAGACCGTATGCAAGGCTGAGTGCATGTCCACAGAGACAGTTTCTGGTGATGCATTGGCTTTCAGCTCATTTCCAGTCAGATTGTGGGCCCCAAAAGATTAAAGAACGTGGACAGAGAAATGAGGAATGTTAAGGATCAACATTAAGAAAAGCACCAGAAATGGTGCAGCAAGGATTCAAACAGTGCCTGGCATGTAGCAAGTATTATACAGGAATTCATTGTAATCATTTGCAGTAGATGCTGTGTTCATCATCAAATTTGTTATAAATGTTGGATGTTGTGCAAGTCAGCAGGTGGAGGGCTGAGAAGACCGCTTGGTTTGAGGTGACTGATGACCTCAGAGAGAATGGAGCCGGTCGGGTTGTTGAAATAGACGCAGTGTGCAGTGAACTGTGGATGGCTGCAGAAGTGCAGGGGTGGGGGGCATGAGTACAGCTCATTCTCAGAACATTTTCTGGTGAAGGAAAGGAGAGATGGAGTGGTAGGTTAAGGAGGAGGAAGCAAGATTAAAAGAAGGGTAGTTTGTTTTAAAGTGGGGAAGTCTTGAGCATGTTTCTCTGCTGAAAAGACATTGTTATGGGAGAAGAGCTTAAGAGAGAGAAGACAGCTGATAACCTTTGAGAAGGTCTAGGGGGTGGCAGGTTGAAACAAAACCAAAGATAGAGTAACTTCAGAGGACACCTGGAAAGAAAGCATAAATGAGGATGTGGCTAAGCATAGAGGTACACAAGAGGAAAAGTGTGGCAGTCTGTGTATGAAATGTCTATACTTCTGGTGTGTTGTAAGTGAGGACATCAACCAGGAACAAGGAGTTGGGTTGGAATCAAGAGCTTGAGAATAGTCCAGATTTGAAGTAGCCACTGCGGGGAATTGGAAGGGAAGTAAGTCATGATGACCGGAAGGCTTTTTGGAGCCTCGTTCTCTTAAATTGGGAAAGGACAGGTTGGTATGAAAGCCATAGGATGGTTTTCTGTAGCAGCACCTAGCAGCAGGGGGGAAGGGGGAAGGAATGGGATGGCTCGTTTTAACCTAAGCCAGGAGGAGTTTGAAAGGTTTAAGGAGATTGTGCAAAAAAGCTGCTGGTAAGAATCCAGCAGTCAACCTTCCTTTCTCCTTTCAGAGGTCTTATACTTTAAAAATATAACCCTGAGGTTATATAACCCTGGGTGGCTCAGTCTGTTAGGTGTCTGCCTTCAGCTCAAGCCATGATTTCGGGGTCCTGGGACTGAACACTTGAGTCATTGTTGGGCTCCCTGTGCAGCTTAGAGTCTGCTTCTCCCTCTCCCTCTGCTTCCCCCACCCTCTCTGTTGACTCTCTCTGTCTTTCAAATAAATAAATAAAATCTTCAAAAATGCAACCCTGGGGCACCTGTATGGCTCAGCAGTTGAGCATCTACCTTTGGCCCAGGGCATGATCCCGGGGTCCAGGATCAAGTCCCAAGTTGGGCTCTTTGCATGGAGCCTGCTTCTCCCTCTGCCTATGTCTCTGCCTCTCTCTGTGTGTCTCTCATGAATAAATAAATAAAATATTTTTTAAAAAATAAGAATAAAAATGCAACCCTAATCACATCACTTCCTTAGTGAGGGGCCGTTTCACCTGAGGCACGACAAGTCAGAGTCACTGGGGACTCACTAGTGAGACCTAAACAAGAATATTGTGTTTCCATCCCTTGAGGATGGCATGTGAGTTTTTCAGGGTCCCTCAGAAGAGTCGTTGGGATGACTGGACTCACAGCTGCGTTTTATTCATCCTATTCTGAACACCAGTGTCACTCACTGTGGCCTCTGCTCATGGGGACACATGGAGCAACCCCAAAGATGAATATTAGGGTCTCAGAGGAAACCTCTCATAAGAGGCCAAATTCTGAGGACTTACAAGACAGGAAAAAGCTTTTTACAGTGAATTCATTTCTCATATGGCTTGTTCCTGGCTGTACTCTTTGAAGAACCTCTTTATTTTTATCTCCAACCGAAAATACCTCCATTTCATACCAATCTCCATGCACATATCACCATCAAAAACACCATCTAAAACAGTGCTTCGTCAGAGTATATCTTCAAATACTGATTAATTGATTCATGGTTTCAAAATTCCACTTGGTTGGACCTTAAATGTTACTCTCTGGACATTCTTTTTTTTTAAATCCATTATTAGATTAATTTCAAATAGACCACTATAGAACTTAATAGTTTTGAGATTGAGATTAATGAGACATTAGTTCACTGCCAAAACCAGCACAAACCTGTGTGGTGCAGCCCTTCTATGTTACTGTAAACTTCCAAGTGATCCAACAGTGTTTTCTCTTTTGCAGGTTGGATCAAGTAGTGATTCACGTAGGAGCCCTGAGCTTGAAAGAGTCACAAGAACTGGTATGTATGTAGGTCCATCTGAGAGAGACCACTCAAGGGACCTCCTTTTTCTTTTATTATTGGAGCACAATTTACATATACAGTGTTCTATTAATTTCAGGCGAATAACATAGTGAATCGATAATTCTGGGTATTACTCAGCACTGACTATGATAAGTGTAGTCACCACCTGTCACCCTACAATGTTATTAGCAATATTATTGACTACATTCTCTATGCTGTACTTTTCATCTCTGTGACTTGCTTATTTTATAACCAAAAGTTTGTGCCTCTTAAAAAAAAAAAAAGTTTGTGCCTCTTCATCCCCTTCACCTATTTTGCCCATCCTCCCGCCTTACCCTCCTCCCCTCTGGCAGCTACCAGTGTGTTCTCTGTGTTTGAGTCTGTTTCTGTTTTTTTGTTTGTTTATATGTTCATTTGTTTGATTCCACAGAAGGGAAGGAGCTCCTTTTTTATGCTGAAGTTAAACTCTATACCGTTTTTGCTATATATTAGTTACTGTCATTGGGGAATATGAGATGTGGGACCTCAGAACTCCCCATCCAGAAGCAGGCACAGAACCACAATGAGAGTAGCCCAAGGTGGCAACTCCTGGAGCAGAGTTTTGAGTAGGAGACAGAGGTCCCTCTTTCTCTGAGTGAAGTGAGGGTGGGTATAGACATAGCTCAGTTTGCCAGTAACGAGAACTTGAGCCAACCTCAGTTGCTCTCAAAAGCAGAAGGTGAAGCCATTTGCTGGGCCTGAAGGAGATGGAAGATGGGGTCCAGATGTGAAGAGTGGTAAAAATTGAGAGTCGCTGCCCCAGGAGAATGAGAAGGAAAACTGAAACACAGGAAGATTGTCTACATCCATGTTAATATCAGCATTATTTTTTTAATATTTTATTTATTTATTTATTTATTTATTTATTTATTTATTTATTTATTTATGATAGAGAAAAAGAGAGAGAGGCAGAGACACAGGCAGAGGGAGAAGTAGGCTCCATGCCGGGAGCCCGATGCGGGACTCAATCCCGGGACTCCAGGATCGCGCCCTGGGCCAAAGGCAGGCACTAAACCGCTGAGCCACCCAGGGATCCCCCTAATATCAGCATTATTTACAATAGAAAGAGGTGGAAGCAACCCATATGCTCGTTAGTGGACAGTTTAAAAAAAAACAAAAACATGGTACATACATTGTATTAAAGGACAGAAATGCAACTAAGTCATTTAAAAGATCAAATTGGCTTTATTGAGTGATTCATGAATCCAGCAACAACCAGTCTAGCAAAGAGAAGGGAGGTCCATCAGGCTATGGAAAAGGAAAGGTTTTAAAGACAGAGAGGAATCAAGAAAAAGAAGATTATTAGCAAAGAACACATTGTTTTAAGCAAGGTTGCCCTCCTAAGGGGAATAGTAGAGGTCTGGCAGTAAATTTCCTAGGGCTGACCAGGATATTCCATGTGGACAGTTTAAACGTTACATTCCTGGGAGAATTGAAACTGCAGTCAGGTTAGGCATTAGGTCTTGGTTTGCTGATGTGGGACCTAACATAAGTGACTCCATTTGGGTCCTGTGGTTTTCTTTTTAACAATGCAATGGAATATTATCCTTAAAAATGAAGGGAATCCATCCTGTCACATGCAGTAATATAGGTGAACCCTTTTAGAACTTTATGTTAAATAAGCCAGTCACCAAAAGACAAATACTAAATGATTCCTCTTAAATGAGGTATCTAAAGTAGTCAAGTTCATAAAAACAGAAAAAAGTACAATGGTGGTTACCAGGAACTAAAAGGGAGAGAGAAAGAATTATTTAATGGGTATGGAGTTTCAGATTTGCAAGATAAAAAGTTCTGGAGATCTGTTTCATAACAATGTGAATGTATTTAAAACTACTGAACTGTACATTTAAAAATGATTAAGGTGGTAAATTTTATGTGGTTTTGTCACATTAAAAAAATTTTTTTTGAAACAAGCTTATATGCCCAACATAGGGCTTGAATTTATAACCCTGACATGAGGAATTACACGCTTTACCAACTAAGCCAGCCAAGCACCCTTAACTAGTTAATTTTTTAAGAAGTACTGCTCAGAAGTGCTAAAAACCAACTGAAGCTATAACTCATAAATTTGTCTTGCCACCATTCAACTAAGTTATAAAAATTTCTTTCTAGTTACACTCTTCTACCAGAACATGGGTTCAAGAACACAAACAATTGGATTGCTCCAGGTTTAAAGATTAGCAGATTACATGGAGCAAAGGACAGGAATGAAAGGAGTTAAAGTTTCTGGCAGAAAAGTACCTGACCTGGTGACTTTGAGGACTTTGTGAATTGGGTAAAAAAAGAAAGATCAAAAGTATTGAGGTGTTTACCAGAAGGCCCAATACCTGGACCACTACTAAATTAACCATGTTTTTCAGAATTTATATATTCTGATTCCAAAGATTACAATGACTTGATCTAGCCCCAACATCTTCTTGATGGGTTTTGTTTGTCTTTCCGATTACTGAATTTAGAGATGGAACGTATAATACATATTCACAAAATTGCAATTCAGTACTCTTAGGCAAGCCACAGGGAAGGTATATTGCTAGATGGTTGTGTAATAAACCTAGAATCAGGACTTGGAGGCTTGATTTATCCTTCTTATGCTTGATTTGTTCTTAAAATAGACCTTTCAATTAAGGTAGTAGGATGTAGGAAATTTGTTTTCATCTCTTTTTCACTGCGTATGTGTAATATAAATTTTAAAATATTGTCATGGCATGAAAGACTGTCATCCATTGGGCTGAACACTTGAATAGTATAGAAATAATCTTAGTATAATCTCCTGCTATAGAGATAATCCCCTACTATGGGGAAAATCTTTCCAAGACCATAATTTGGTATCTGCTTAGCCATAACTCCGTTGGATGATATTTGAATGGGCACAGCCATCAACTGTCTTTTAGCTGTTTCCTTTTTCCTTGTTTTCAGCTAAAGTTATCCTTCTACTCTTGTCCGAAACAGAGTGTTAAACAAATGTTCTAACGTATTACATCCAACTGGTGTTAATGAAATTCTACCCAATGTCACAATTGGTCTTTGGACTATATCCCGGTCTTCTCTTTGGTTCTCCTACTTCTGCAGAAAGCAAATCACATCTATTAGAGACCAATATTATTAGTTAAAGTCTCAGAGGAAAGCATTTTTCCCTTTTAGGTTGGGGGGGGCATGTTCTGAAGCAGTCAGCAAATCCCTTCTATGTGCTCAGCACCATAATTAACTAACTGTACACAAGTAATTAAGATCCGACCCCTGCCTTCGGGAACTCCTCCTGTTTGAGAACAGTCGCCGTATACACTCTCTTGCAATGTAGTAGATTTAAGGTACTCTACTTGAAATAGATAAGAATGTTTTGAGGGCCCAGCGGAAGGAAATGGTCATTTTTGGAGGGAAAATTTGAGAAAACTTCAGAATCACTATTCAGTGGTACACTGAATCTTCCTTCATGTGCATAATCTTTTTGTTCTAAACCTTTCTCAACTGCATTCCCAATCCATAAATTAAAATTTTTTAATACACTTAGAATAAATTTTAAAATATGACTATTATATCATTGGACAGGAGAGACTCCTGGGCTGAACACTAGAGAGAAATTATACTTGTGAGTTTCTCTATTCACAGTTATAACTTACCACAATGAACCATTCTTGTCTCCTTTAGCAAAGTATTTTTGCACTCACAAAGTCTGAAGAATAAGATTAAATGCACAGGTCACCTCCACCCAGGGTCTCTACTTTGCAATTTGGGATTTTCCTGGTAATGACATTCATTATTACATTTGGCTTATTTTCTGCTATCTTGTGGTGAATCAGTTGGCAAATTTGAAATTTATTACAACTATCAGTATCTAAGCAGTAGGTGAATATAATAAATCACTTATTCCAAGATGGTTGTGATATTGTGATTTATAATAAATATATATTCGGTCTTTGTCTAGTTTCTGGTGCAGAGTTCCTAACAGTCTTGCAATTTTCTGTGATGAGAGCAATAAAGACGTCCTATTATGTGAATGAGGTGACTCTTAGAAAGCAGCTAAGGATGAGGGCCGGTTGCCAGGAGAACCAACCATGTGATCAGAGGATTGGAACTTTGAGTCCTACCTGACTTGCACCTCTGTGGAGAGAGGAGGGACTGAAGGTTGAATCAGTCACCAGTGGCCGGTGATTTAATCAACCATGCCTATGTAGGGAAGCCTCCATTAATTTTTTTTAAGATTTTATTTATTTATTCATGAGAGACAGAGAGAGAGAGAGAGAGAAGAGAGACATAGGCCTAGAGAGAAGCAGGCCCCAGGCAGGGAGCCCGACATGGGATTCGATCCCGGGTCCCCAGGATCACGCCCTGGGCAGAAGGTGGCGCTAAACCGCTGAGCCACCCAGACTGCACGGGAAGCCTCCATTAAAACCCAAAAGGGCAGGTTTCAGAGGGCTTTCAGGTTGGTCAACATGTGGAGATATAGGAAGAGTGGTGCACTCACACTTGGGAGAAGACAGAGAAGCTACAAGTCCTCTCGCCATACCTTGCTCTTGGCATTTCTTCCACCTGGCTGTTCCTGAATTATATCCTCTTATAATACACTGATGGTCTAGTAAGTAAAATGTTCCTCTGAGTTCTGTGAGCCACTCTAGGAAATTAATTGACCCAAGAAAGGGATCATTAGAACCTCCAAGTCGGTGGCCAGTCAGTCAGGAGCACAGGTGATGACGTGGGCTTGTGACAAGCATCTAAAGTTCAGGGAAGTAGGCTAGTCTTATAGGACTGAGCCCTTATCCCGTAATCTGATTCTGTCTCCAGGAAGATAGTATCAGAGCTGAGTAGAATTGCAGGACATACAGCTCTTATCGGAGAATTAATTGCTTGTTGATGTGGGGAATCACTCCTCAACCTACAGACATCAGAATTGTGACCAGACCCGTAATGGTCTTCTTTCTTCTCATAAAGGCCCGACATGCAGCAGAAATTGGAGCCGATGGCATCGCTGTCATTGCACCTTTCTTTCTCAAGCCATGGAACAAAGGTAAACAGATAGTCTAAAACACACAGTGCCTTACATGGCCCACTTCTTTTTGACTTCATTCAAACTGGTCATACTGAACTCATGAAAGTAGTTGTATGGACTAACGGTGTGCAGTTGCAGCAGTACAACAGTCGTCCAGAATATCTGGTCTCCCTGGATCCATGAAAGAAAAGGCTCCTTTAAGAAGGGCTTCAACTCTTTTTCCAAGTGACCTGATTAAGTCATTCACCAAGCCCCAGGTCAACCTACAGTTGCCTGTGGTTGAGTCAGGTGTCCATTCCTAGTCGAGTTGGCTGTGTAGAATGTCAGAGTCACATGGCTTGGAAATAGTCCAGCAAAGCATGACTATTTTTCTCAAAAAAGAGGAATGTAAGTGATGGGCATCTTGAGACTATGTGTTCTATTCAAGGTTGAGTGACTAATGAATTTGAGGGAGATTTCACAGAAAGATCCATTGTCTCCCAAAATACCAAGTTAATTGCTTTCTCCTTCTTCTCTGCTTTCTCTATGGAAACTATTTGTAGTTTCCAAGTATACTGAGTCTTTTTAATCCTTCTGATTAGCAAACAAAGAAATATAAATTTTGAAAGGATTGAAAACGGACAATCCATGATTGCATGCATGATTAAATAAATTCGTAGCCAAATGTGATTGAATCAAAATTATCGTGAAATATCATCTATTATTGGTAGAAAATAATTGTTAACATAGGATAAGTAATTTAAATTCTGCCATTTGGGGAATTGAAGATGAACATTTTAAACGGTTTTTTTTCACATGGTTATAAAAATTTTACATGAATTCGTTTCCCAAAAAGAGTAAAGGAAAAATAATGAGTTCTACATAATAATTTTGTCAAATATTTATCAGGGACAGAGTACATCATCACAGTATTCAGATGGAGTACCTAAGATTCTCTCTCCCACTATCCAGTATAAGCGAGTCTGCGGGATTTATTAATCCTCTACAGTAATGTCACAGTGAAAGCTTACAGAAGATGATGTTGGAAATTGCAAATCCTCAGTAAACTAGAATGAATTCTCTTCTGCTGTATCTGGATTTCTCCCCAAATGGGAAAAGTGCCAACCCCTGGTTGAATTATTGTGAGATGTGCCACTATTCTTACAACTTCCCTCTTTGAGCAAATGTTTATCTTTTGTTATAGAATTTTCTCAGTTACAACTTGATGATTCTGATCCTAATGCAAAATCCTGTGTTCACTGACCACATTTACCCCTGTGGGGTAAGAGCACAAGAGTCCTACTGATGGGCTTCTGGCTTTTATAAGAGTATTCCATGAGCTTCTCTTATTATGTGGGAAGGTTCATGCCAGGTTTTTTTTTATGATAGTCACAGAGAGAGAGAGAGAGAGAGAGAGAGAGAGAGAGAGGCAGAGACATAGGCAGAGGGAGAAGCAGGCTCCATGCACCGGGAGCCCGACGTGGGATTCGATCCCGGGTCTCCAGGATCGTGCCCTGGGCCAAAGGCAGGTGCCAAACCGCTGCGCCGCCCAGGGATCCCTCATGCCAGTTTTTTAATGGTATTTTAGTACAGTAGGAAAGCAATCCTCTTACTTTGGCCTTTCTACAGGAAAGTAAAATAAAACTTTGAATGAAGCGAGTTGCAAAGACATTGCAGTAACAATCTCAGGGATGGTAAGAGTGATAGAGAATTTTCAGCTCCTGAGAGGGATGGTTGCAGTTCAATAGACGGTTAATTTTTTACCAGGGAAAGCCAGTGTTTTATACTTGTTCACATCATGGCTTTTCCTGCTATTCTTTCAGATGTCTTGATTAATTTCCTAAAGGAGGTGGCTGCTGCCGCCCCAGCATTGCCATTTTATTACTATCACATTCCGGCCTTGACAGGAGTAAAGAGTAAGTACCACTCCATGTTTCTCTCAATGTTTCTTTCCCTCCATCTCTCACATCTTACCATTTCACTAAGAAACTCCCACTGCATTTCACTCCACCTCATGTCACAAACATAAAACTGTTCACCAGATGGTTCCAGTTGGCTCCAAAATAAGTCAGTCTTATCAAAAATAAGTCACTCTCAGGCAGCCCCGGTGGCACAGCGGTTTAGCGCCGCCTGCAGCCTGGGGTGTGATCCTGGAGACTGGGGATTGAATCCCACGTCGGGCTCCCTGCATGGAGCCTGCTTCTCCCTCTGTCTGTGTCTCTGCCTCTCTCTCTTTCTCTCTCTCTCTGAATAAATAATCTTTAAAAAAAAATAAAGCAAAATGGTCTCCTCTTTAAAAAAAATAAGTCACTCTTATCATTGACACTAACTTATAATGAAAGTTTTTAAGCATGAAAGATGCCTTTCTAGCAGACACCTTTTGTCTATCACACATACATCCACTTCTTATATGAGAAGACACAAGCCTATAAGCCCTGCAAGGACATCAACTTGTACTCTATTGTATTCTCAGTGTCTGGCACACAGGAAGTTACTCTGATCTTTCCTCACTTTTCTTTTGGGCTTTTCTTTTATGTTTACTATGCTTCTCCAGGAAAGAGATTGTTAATTAGAGGAAACTTATTAGGGGATTATTATTTTTATTACTTATGAGAGACACAAAGAGTATTTTTTAGATTTTATTCCTTCCTACTTCCTTAAAAGAAAAAAAAGTAGAAGTTGTGCTTTGGAAACATTCATATGTTGTCTTTAAGAAATGGAAACCTTGGGGCTGAAATCTGATAAATATATAGGAACTTCTAGGTGAGGGTCAGTGATGTCCATTAAAGAATAGCCCCTGGCACTCAGTGCAAATGTGAGGGGTGCTACAAGATGGGATTTGACATTTTCTGGATTTGTGCAGATTAGTGAGGTATTTACTGTTTTGAGCAGTTCGTGCCGAGGAGTTGTTGGATGGGATTCAGGATAAGATCCCCACCTTCCAAGGGCTGAAGTTCAGTGACACAGATCTCTTAGACTTCGGGCAGTGTGTTGATCAGAATCGCCAGCGACAGTTTGCTTTCCTTTTTGGGGTGGATGAGGTAAGTCACCCACTGGCCTATCCCAGCCAGTTAGTTGCCTTCTAGAACAATTTGTAAAGCTGTTTATATAGCAGCATCTTGTCTCTTCCTCTTTTTCATAAAAGTGAATACTCTGTGTCTGTTTTTGATTAGCAACTATTAAGTGCCCTGGTGATGGGAGCCACCGGAGCAGTGGGCAGGTAAGCCTAACTCATTTTTCCCAACAGTTATAAATGGAAAGTTCCCCCCACCCCCACCATGGAGGCATTGCCGCCTATGTGGTTGTACTTCTTGTATGGACACCATGTCTAACAAAAAATGGCCTTTCCTTCCCCTAGTCTTTCAGTAAAAAGGAATTAAGTATGGCTTAGCAGTTTGTTAGCAACTCAGTCATTGTTATTAGAAGCATCTGTTGCAATTAGAGGTAAGGCCCAGGAGCTAAGAGCATGCACAGAATTTGGCAGAAATTACTTGGTTGCTAACAACAGAAGCCCTTTGAAAGTAGCTAATGTGGAAGAAGATACATTATTATAAACTACTGGGAAATTACATAAAACTCAAGAGGAGGAAATGCAGCCAAGCCTCAGAGAAAATGAGAACCCAGGACGGCAAAGCTGTCAACAGCCATGGCAGATGGCTCTCCGTCTACGGTCCTCTGGAGATTCCACCCCTGCATCTCTCTGCACACCTCTTTATTTCCCTCTCTTGCTCTCCTTGTGTATTTTCTATGCTTCAGCGTGCACATGGCCAATCGTGGCTGCCCAGTCATGGCATCTCAGGATATTACTGGCTAACACTCCAGTATCTGAGTCCAATCAGCTGCAGCCAGAGAAGTAGAATCCTGTGGCCTGATGCCTACTCAGCAGAGGCTTAGGGAAGGCAGGGAATTTGATTAGCATCTCCACTGCACATGTTAACTTAATTCATTAGAAATGTGCCTGCAAGTGATTGATTGAAATATTCATATTAACTGAAAGTGCATTTCCTCCCTATAGGAAAAGTGTAGGAGAAACAAAGTAATAGTGATAACATGTCTTGGTGAGCATGGCTTTGATGAAGAATAAGTTAGGTATAATCTCAATGGCTTATTTACCAAGCCAGACTGGCCTGCAACCATACATTGTCACCACAAGGACATTTCTACCAAGGGAACCTGAATGCCTAGGTCTACTGACCATGAAATTCTTACTAGTTTTGTCCCCAAAGATGACTTTTGTTTTTTGGCCTCCATACTAGGCATTTTAATTTTGTCCACATAATCTGTAAGCGAAGTACATTTCATTAGACTTTATTTCTTCTTCATTATAATTATACTCCTCTCTAATTTAATATGCCTAAGAGCCCTGAAATTTGAATTTTACTATTCTGAAGCTCCTCAAATATATTGTGACTTAGGAGTGTTTCACATCTATAAGTGACTTATCTCAGCTATTATATTTTATTTTTCCTTACTTTATTACCAGAAGATAATGTGAACATCACATTCTTGGAATCCCTTACTGTTCACTCTAGGGTCTCCATATGTGAAATACCAACAACACTCTGTTCTTGGTACATCAAATATATTTTTTGGAAACTGGCTATATGAGAAGCTGCTAGAAACTGGGGAAACATCCTTGTTAAGAATTTCTATAAATGTCTACCTTGATGGTTTTTCTAAGAATTCTGTGATTAGTCTGAGGTACTTGTCTTTACTAGTAAAGTTGGAGGGTTTTTTTTAAGTCCACATTTTATCAGATCAAATAACTTATTCTCACTTTCATTTTTGCTGAATTGTAGTAGATAGCAGCGTGATGTGATAAAAACCTTTGCCACAACTGTATAGCCTTCTTTAAGTCATAGTTTCCTCACAATGAAACAGAAGCCAGGGCTGTGAGAGGACGAGACATGATTTATGTCAAGCACCTAGAACAGAATAGACCAGAAATGATCTCTCATTTTATTATGATCCTTATTATTATTAGAAAGTAATTGCTGGGATCCCTGGGTGGCGCAGCGGTTTGGCGCCTGCCTTTGGCCCAGGGCGCGATCCTGGAGACCCGGGATCGAATCCCACGTCGGGCTCCCAGTGCATGGAGCCTGCTTCTCCCTCTGCCTGTGTCTCTGCCTCTCTCTCTCTATCTGTGTGTGACTATCATAAATTTAAAAAAAAAATTAAAAAAAAGAAAGTAATTGCTAGGTAATATGTAAATTATATAAGCATATAAATTACAGGTAATGTATAAATTGGCAGAGAATTCAGATAATCTGCTGGAGCTTGCCCCATTCACCCAGTTCCTCAGCATAAGGCTTTTAGGCCTCACCTCAGATACTATATTTTACCCAATAGTTCGAATCTGTATTTGTGCCTGTGCCTGTGCCCTCGGGCAAGCATTTGGCTACCAAACACACCTCCACCTCTAGCTTTTTTCCCTTTATTCTAATTTTATCCTTTTCCCACTTTCCTTCCTTTCCCTTTATCCCCTCTGGTACTCTGTGCCTCCTCTTGGCACTGCTTACTGTTGCTGGACAACTCAGAACTGAAGACACTTGATCTCTAATAGATTAGGGCCAAAAAAATAGACTTTTGGAAGGCCTGGTATATTTTTTCCCTTTTAAGCATCAAAGGGATTTAAAGATCTAGACCTCTCCTGCTGAGTTACTGATCCTGCAGTATGTACTGTTTTCTTTCCAGTACCTATAACTACCTGGGAAAAAAGACAAGCCAGATGTTGGAGGCTTTTGAACAAAAGGACTTCTCTTCAGCCCTGAACCATCAGGTTAACTTGTTTTTCCCGTCATATAAATCACAGCCACTCCCCCCCCCCCCCCACTGGATAATTCTTATTCTCTCTCATGTGCACTCCCGCCACACCTGCCCTCATTAAAATTGCTTACCTGCATCTGTCTTTACTTTCCTTCGGCTTCTTACTGGCTCTTGTTTAAAGCCAAACCTATACCCATTGTCTGTGTTGCCTATGTGTCTAATCAGGACAGGCCCTGTATGGGAATGACCTTCTCTGTCCCTCCTGGAAATGATCTTATTTGTATTCTATGTTCAAAGTATTTTTGTGACAATAAAACAATAGTGATAGATTTTTGGGGAAATGACCATATGCCATCCCCTTGAGGACTTCACACCCCAATCTCCGGAGGATATGAAGAAGCTATGAAGCTGGTAACCCAAAATAGGGAGACTTAATCCAAAGTCAGAGCAGGTCAGTCATCTTCACCTACCATGTGCTGAGAACTGGGAGCATCTACCAGGCAGAAACAAGAGCCAAATGAGTGATCTTAAAGCAGATGCTGGCTTTGAAACAGGAAGACAAAAGCAGCAGGAGCTGATGGATGACAGGGAAGACTCCAGGGGAAATGATGGCTGCTGTTGATGTTACATGGAAGGCAGGCTAGATGTCCAGGGAATGAAGAGCCTCATGAAAGGCAGAACCAGTCTCGCAGCTGGGTAATATGTGTACTTGAGGTAAGTGGAATGAGGTGGAAGGAAACAGCAGAGGCAGAAGAGAAGGACTTTTCGGAGGCCAAGAGGTGCAGGGATTTTCAAGATAGTAAAAGTAACTGGAGTATCCCAAGAAAGTAAGTAGGAGTGAAAGGCATAAGCAAGATCAGAACAGGTGCTCAGTCCCAAAAGTTAGTCTCCCAAAGAAAATTATTTCTGAAAATTCCAACCTGTTCTGAGTTGAATGACAGGGAGCCCTTCTGTTTAGTAGTTTCTTTTAATGTCTGGCTCAGTTTCCATTTCTTTTTACCCCATTAGTACCACTCAAATAAGTCATCCCACTCAAAATGGTATTGGTAAGGAATGTAGTTTACCACATTCTTTGTCTTTTCTTACAGAAGCCTAGTGTGAGTGGGTCTCACTGACTCCTTTATTCATAGGCTAAGGGCTGAGTCAAGTGCATAACTTAATGAAAGCTGGTCTCTTGCTATAAAGGAATTTGCAGTCAAGTGAAGAAGCAGACAAGCAAAAAGGGCAGAATTTATTCATTCTCATGGGCTTAAATGCCATCTGTTATATTTACATAAGTGAAATGACACATTTAAGTGATGTTCCATACTACATTGTTTATAATAGCAAAAGACTGAAACAACCCAAATATCCATCCATAAGGAAATAGTTAAAAACATTATGTTTCAGTTATGCAATGGAATTACATGCAGCCTGTAAAAGGATGAGATCATTTTCTGTGTATAGATCTGAAAGGATTCCATGATATATTAAGTGTACAAAAGCAGCAGACTACAGAGTTGTGAATGTAATGTATTACAGTTTGTGTATGAGGTAGAAAAGAACATATACATAGATGTTTGTAAGGCTCTGGATATTAAAATTTCATTCTTCACTGAATTTTTTGTTACTAAACTGATTAAAACAACGTAAAAGTATTATCAAAAATGCATCTCTTAAATGGATGAGAGTCTGTCTTTTATGATTAGTTCAGGAATTCATGGATGAGTATTACATAATGCTAGGATGAGTTAAATTTCAGCATCAATACTATTTGTTTTTTTGTTTTTAGAGAAATAAGTGCTATGAAACCCTATTCTTGTAAATCAGTAGTAAGAATGAAAGAAATTTTGTCATCACAATGTCACTCAATTCTTTGCACAGTTTTTTGGGTTGTGTTAAAAATCACAGAATGCTTTAGTGATTTTCAGCTGACAACCTGAGTAGCAACATTGAAAGCAAAAAGTTGAAAGCCCTATGATTTTTTAAAGGACTCTTTCCCTGTTAATTAGAGGAATTGCTTTGTCATTTTGTCGATGCCAATACCAATATTTTGATCTGCTCCTTTATTTGGTTCCCAGGGGTGTCCCAAGGCAGTGATATAGAAGATATGTCTTTATTTCCTTAAAAAGTGGGATAAGAAGCACTTATGAAAGAGAAATCTAAAATGACAACCTGCACCTCCATGCAAATTCGTAGTCTCATCAGTTTTAGAAAATAGCACTTATGGAAGTGGAGGATCCAGAAATTATTTATTCCCATAAATCTTAGCCTTGGCTGATGTCCCTTAGCTATCTTAGAGAGTACCCCAGAAGCTAGTATACCTCACTTTAAAAACAATCACACTAACTGATAAGTTTAGATGGATAAAGATCAGCTAGATGGATAAAGGGTGCCTACCGCCATCTTAAGTCTATTGTTCAATTCTATCTTTGGTGCTGCTTTTCTGCATGGACCCTTCTTATAAATCTTACATGTATGAAAAAATCTTACCGTATCCTGGCTGGTTTTCAACCATCCTCACTTGGCTGGTTTTGTCCACTCTGACATGGCTTCAGAAAACTAAGGTGTATGGGCCTTTTAGTTTGGGGTTTCTGTCCTTTGACCTCCAAAATTCTTTAATTGTTATCACAGCTTAGTGATGCTGACTGTAGATTTGTTTTTCCTTTCCAGTTTTGTATTCAGAGATTCATCAACTTTGTGCTCAAACTAGGTAAGTTTCCTGCTTTGTTTGCTAATAGGATAAAGGAAATGGAACACTATCACTTTCTTTGAGGGTTCAGTGAGGACACCTTTTAATGTTCTGTTGCAAGCAGAATTTTATTTCCATACTAGCTTCAGGGCCCACCCTATAAAATGGAACCTAGTTGGCAGATCTCTGGCACCCTTCAACAAATCTCGTTCCCCCATCTTAGCACTTTGTTGGTCTCCCCACTCTGCATCCCATCCCATCTTTTGATCCTTCTGAGCACTCCTTCCTGCTATTTGCCTCTACTCATTAGAGTTCTAGCACACTGTGGCTGATTGCAGCCTGAGTACTTGGAGGAAGGCAGTCTGAATATAGATCTTACTAAATTGTGAATGACTGACAGCTCCCCCAAGAGTATTTGCAATGTAAAAAGAGTTTATTAACATAAGTAAGCTCAAGTGGATGGAGGTTTAGATAATATGACAAAGTAAAAGTTGAGGGAAATACAGTGAATTTGCATAGAGAAACCTTCTCAGGGTCTCCTAAATATTACCCCATCACAAATGACAGATGCCACCATTCACCCCACTCCTGAGGAGACTGACCCTTCCTGAGAACCTGGGTCGAGTCCAGAAATAGTTTTAGGTTTATTCTTGGCAGACCTCCCACCTCCCCATCAGAGCCTGTCTTGTCCTGGCAACTCCTGCTGAGCCCCAAGCACCTATTATGTGGTATGTCCCTCCTTCTTGCTGGAGGGAAGAAGCTCTCCGCTAGCTCCCTTAATCCTTCAGAGACAGTGTTTCCCATTTGCTTTTCACTTTCATGATTTTTGTCATATTTATGTGCCATAAGTACAATTAATTACCTATTATTATTCCCTTGTTCTAAGCAATGCTTTTCACAAAATTGTGGTTTGGCGGGACAGCTATGCATGTTCCTAAGGTGCATTTAAATAAATATTGAACTATTAAAATTAGAACTACACTTGTACCTGTGCATATATAAGATCATTCTGTATACCAGTATGATACTGCAACATTTTTGCCAACTACAGCTCTGAGATATTAGCTGAAAGAATTTACTCTCTTGCCAGAATATTTGCATTTTAAAAGTGGACTGACTCAGGGCACCTGGTTGGCTCAGGCGGTTAAGCATCCAACTTGATTTCAGCTTAGGTCATGATCTCAGGTTCATGAGATCAAGCTCTGTGCTGGGCCTGGAGTCTGCTCTGGATATTCTCTCTCTCTCTGCCCCGATAGATAGATAGATAGATAGATAGATAGATAGATAGATAGATAGATAGATAGATAGATAGAAAAAATGGACTCATGAAGATAAGTTTTATGGTTTAAAAGAGCATATCTTTAAAGAAATCATTTCAAACTTCCCTGGCGGGTTGGAGCATTCATGATTTAGGCAAGGAGAGACTTAATAAACTTGTAGTCTTATTATGAGAGTAGCTCCCTGTTCTGCCATTTGTAAGAAGCCTGGGACGGCCATTTTGCATTCATCAAACTATTTTCTGTATCTTTGGTCATGCTATTTTTCTTCCAGATGCTCAATTGTTATGATTAGTTAGCTTAGCAAAAGAAAGTTACTTCTCATTACCTTGGGCTTAAAAGCCATAGCCAGTTAAAAAACAAGTACCTTTTTTTCTGTGCTGTGTTGTTTCTTTAGATCTACCTTCAAAATCCCTAATTCTATCTTCAGCTCTGTTTTTTTTCTTTTTACATTTTATTTATTTATTCATTAGAGACACAGAAAAGCAGAGACATAGGCAGAGGGAGAAGCAGGCTCCCTATAGGGAGCCCGACTTGGGATTAAAACCCAGGACCAAAAAAAAAAAAAAAAAAAAAAACCCAGGACCATAGGATCACACTCTTAGCCAAAGGCAGGTGCTCAACCACTGAGCCATCCAGGTGTCTCAACCACTGAGCCACCCAGGCGTCCCTTCAGCTCTCTTTTCTACTATTTCATTTCACTGAATATATATTTTTCATTCCTAGGATTTTTGTTTGCTTTTTCCCAGATCTTTTTTTTAAGATTATTTATTTATTTATTCATGAGAGACAGCAAGAGAGAGAGGCAGAGGCACAGGCTAAGGGAGAAGCAGGTTCCCTGCGAGGAGCCCGATGCAGAACTCGATCCCGGATCCCGGGATCACGCCCAGGGCCAAAGACAGACACTCAACCGCTGAGCTACCTAGGTATCCCAATCTTCTTGTTCTTTTTTAATTTTTTTAAAATTTTTTATTTATTTATGATAGGCACACAGTGAGAGAGAGAGAGAGAGAGAGGCAGAGACACAGGCAGAGGGAGAAGCAGGCTCCATGCACCGGGAGCCTGACATGGGATTCGATCCCGGGTCTCCAGGATCGCGCCCTGGGCCAAAGGCAGGCGCCAAACCGCTGCGTCACCCAGGGATCCCAATCTTCTTGTTCTTTATATATATGCTCTTCTCTTAGCCTATGGCTTCTAGTCCAGTTCTTTTATCTTTGTGAGGTCTCTTTCAGAATTTGGTATCCTCTAATCTCAGGATGTGGGATTTGTCAATTGTGCATTTGCTAGCTCTTGTGCAGCTTCTTTTTCTCATGTGTTTTGTAATTTTTAACTCTGAACTTGTTTTCAGAGACTGTTGTTTTCTGGAGAATCCATCGTGCTCTGGGTTATAAGGTGTCTTAACAAGTGGTTTTACATTTGCCTCTGTTGGACACTACAATTTCACCAATTCTAACCAGTTTTTAGGTTAATTTCTTAGTCTGGTTTTTACACCAAGGGTCTAATGCAAATATGGTTTCAGCATTCATATGTGGCACAGGCTTGGGATTGATTCCTTTCATATGATCTTTTTCCATCCACAACCTGGCAAAAGTCAAACTTCCTTGCTTCTGTCCCCAGGCCAGCAGGCCAGGTTTTCTTCTACTGCCTTTCATAGAAGGCTGGCTACCAGTTTTGCACAGGGAGTTTAGTTTCAGCCCCCTGCTATGCACAGACCCAAGGCTTCATCTAGCATTCCTGCCCTAGCTTTATAACGCCAGCTCTTAAATAGCAGCATCTTAAATAATGCCATTCTCAGAGACTTCTTATATGTGATTAAACTAAATTCTCTCTTAGTAATGAAGTCCTGTGTCATGTGATCCATGCCCTATATCCCTGAATCAGATTATGCTCATGCACCACTTGGCTGCAGCAACTCACCACACCGACCTCTTTATTCCTGATACCATTGGTCCCTCTTTCTTGCTTTTGAGGTTGACATTGAGTCTTCTTTTGTTTTGTTTTGCAGCTTGTCAATTTGTTGAAAAACTCTCCACTTGTTCTATATGTTCAAGGCAGAAAGAGGGATTTCCTATGTCTGCTCAGTCTGCCATAGTGATAACAAATGTTCCCCTCTCTTCCACCTTATCCTATTGTAGAAGTCACTGTAAGAATACGATTTCTTCTTTGGAACGTTTGTGGCAAAGTGGATGCTCCTGGTCATATTTCCTTGTTTTCCCATCTAGGTTTTGGAGTGTCGCAGACCAAAGCCATCATGACTCTGGTCTCTGGGATTCCAATGGGCCCACCCCGGCCTCCACTGCAGAAAGCCTCCGGGGAGTTTATTGATAATGCAAAAGCGAAGCTGAAGAGCCTGGATTTCCTTCTTTCCACTGATTTAAAGGATGGAAACTTTGAATCCTGTAGCTAGTGCCTCTCTCATCAAATCAGAGTGTGTACCTTGAATAGTGCATTCATTTCTCAGAGACTTCTAGGTGAACTAAACTCTTATCTAGCAAATGAAATCTCACCTCAATCAACAAGTGTTTAAGTATCTTCTGTGATCCTAAAAATGTTTTATTTTGTGAAGGGGCAAAAACTGTAAAAGGAATCATGAGCTCTGAGTCATTCAATATTTCACAAAGTTTTTGTGGAGAAATTTCTACTTATATGGATGAAATGGAATCAAGAGGAAAATTATAATGATTCATTCTATCTGCCTTTAGGAGCTTTCATTATTTTGATTTCTGATTCTTAATCCTATTTTAAAATTCTCTAATTTTAAACCATTATAATGTACTTTCATTTTAATAAATATTCATTTGGACTCTAGGACAACTCTGAGTTTAGGCAGGTACACTTTAATGCCAAATTACAACATGACTCAACTCTACACAACTATTAACACCCCAACTCACTTCACTGCTCAGTCTAATTCTAGAATAGAATTCTAGTTAATTCAGATTAACTGTGATGTCTCAGTTTCCCCCCAAAACACTGGGTTGGGTGAAGACTTGCTTTAGTTTTTACCGCTAAAGGGCCCATTTAGAGTAAGTTTTCATGAAACAAAGAAAAGGTTCTCCCCAAAGATGAATGCAAGTCTCCACTTCTTGCTATACAGGGAATTTCTAAAAGCTCAAAGTCTCAAAGAACCAAAGAGCTCATAAGGGAAGGGAGAAGAAATGTGTGGGAAATATAAAAAAGGGAGACAGAACATAAAGACTCCTAACTCTGGGAAACCAACTGGGGGTGGTGGAAGGGGAGGAGGGCGGTAGGTGGGGGGTGGGGGTGAATGGGTGACGGGCACTGAGGGGGACACTTGACGGGATGAGCACTGGGTGTTATTCTGTATGTTGGTAAATTGAACACCAATAAAAATTAATTTATTAAAAAAAAAAAAAGAACCAAAGAGCTCTCCTGGGCACCACACACTTTCCCTTTACCCATTGGGAAGAAAGTATCTCCCCCATAGTGCCCTGAATTATTGTAAGTGAAGGTCAACGTCCCTTCAATGGTAAGCCCGGGGCTCCTATTATTTCCTGATCACACTTCCAGCACATTTCTTCAGTGAAGAAAGATTTGGGGAGAACCCAGAGATTTCACTCTAGCTTTCCTTACACATCCTCTTTACTCTCTTCTTTCTCAGTATGGCTGCTTAGTCTCCTTTCCAACAAATCCTGGTGAGTGCTTCCCAGTAACAAAGTGTATTGTCAGTAAACCCTTGGTAATTGTAAACCTTACTTTCAGGCTATCAATTACCTAGGATTTTGTTTTTGTTTCTTCTCTAATGAGTCTCCTCATTGGCAAAAGGAAAGTATTGAAATTCGTAACAGTTTTACTCTCCATATTTTATCTCTTAAAAAGAGAAACCTTTTTGAAATGAGAATTTGAAATTATCTGTGGGTTACCCTTGCCAATTGATCAGTTGGTTAAGGGTTATATTTATGGCTCCTCACTCTTTTTTTTTTTTTTTTTTGCTCAGGAATGACATGTGCCGTTTTCTCCTATTTCCTTCTCCTTCAAGAGTAAGACATCAGAGTAAGAAAGTGAACTGCAGTGACTTATGTGAGCTTATATTCTCTCACTGAAACTTTTCTTTATAGCCATTAATTTGAAAAGGAAGAAAAGGGAGATTTTTGGTTGAGGAGGTGTCATATCCTTACATAAGTATACTAAGGCCAAATTAATTTTTTCAATGAAGATAAATCTTGACTATCCACTAAAGAAAGAACTCTGTTTTTGTTTTCATTCTTCTGAAGTCAGTGCTTAGATAGCTTGAAGATGTTTAATGAAATCTTGTGAACACAAAGAGAAATAAGAGAATTTTTTTTTAATGACCAGGGTTGAGTTTAGCTCTGTGTGTTCTAACATCCAACTCCTTGGAAACAAGTTTTACACAGCAATAGTTACTAATAATGCCTTTTATCAAAAGTAAACTTTTAGAGTATTATAAATTTACTGTTAGATTTGAATTTAGTTTTTAATATTGAAACTAAAATAATGATATGAAATTCTTCACTCAGCACACTAAAAGTGGATTTTTAACCATGTTTGTTTCAAGATAGAATTCTGAGATTAATTCATTGAGGCTGGTGGAAGGACAAAGTGATTCCAGGGACTGGTTTTACTTAGAATTTATTCACAGATGTAGGAAAATGCCATCTCACTAGTGTACATGGGGAGTGGGTAATGCATATTCTTCCCTGAAAGTCTGTTTGCTACAACTTGAGAGAAATTTCCTTTTTATGATCCATGAAGGGTACATAAAATCCCTTCTGTCAGGACTCTGAAGCCTGAGAGAAGGCTAGGTTGGGCTGGGATAAGGGACATCCTAAAATGACTGTAGTCCAAGACCAGGACCCAAGTGGGCTCCCTTGGGCTTTCACATGAGGAAGAATGGAGTGGGACTTACATGCGTGTCAAAGTAAGAAGAGCAAAGAATGGATCTAATCCATTTAACCACTATCTTTATCACACGCTCACTCAACCCAATTTCCTTCAGTTAAACTAAGAAGGAATCTTGGAATCAAAGTTGTACAAATGGCAGAGCTAAGCCCTAGGTAGAGGTAGGGCATTGCCTTGCACTCTGGGTTCCTGGGGCTGAGAAATGGCTACTTGGTGGACAGAATAACCCAAATCATGTTTTCACTGCCAACTCCTTTGGTGACTCTTGAGAAATCATTTGATACATAGGACACTTTTTTAGTACTTTAAGTTAGACAACCAGAAGGAAAACCTTACAGAAATTTCCTAAATCTTAATCACACATTAGCTTAGTAAAGATAATGGAACAGATTCCACAAAATGCACAAAATGTATATAGAGCCTATATCCAGCAGGACTTGTTAAGCTGTGTCTATATACCAATTACAGAGTGTTCAAGTTCTATGCCAGATGGAGCACCTAGGTGCTTGGACATCATGTTCACCTCCAATATTTATTCTGCACAGCAGCTAGAATGACCTTCATTAATGCCAAATTCCCAGATTTGAGCCAGATGTTGGATGAAGGCCTGTAGGCACAGAAGAAATTTTCAAATATCAACCTTTGATGTGAGGGACGGGCCTCTCACCCATCAGCAAGCACACATAACCAAGTTATCTTTGAGGTCCTGGAAGCGGGCTCCCACTGACAGGCAAGCATGTCAGGGTCTCAGAGTGATGGAGAGTCCCAGTCTAGTTGGCCCCGCTTAAGATCCCATGTCTCAGGTAGGAGGAGGTGGCACCAGGACAACACACCACATTCCTGGAAATGCTCAGGCTACACTGCAACCAAGTGATCAATCTCAGAACTTGAGGGAATGGGCACAATCTAAAGCATCTCTTACTAAGACTGCAGGTAATATTCCCAAGCCTGGGAGGTCTGCAGGTTGCAGTTGCTATCTGGACTCTCCAGTACATTGACCCAGTTAGTATTGTCCTTGTCCTTTCCCTAAGGAAATCACTTCAGTCAGCCTTGAGTTCCCAATGTGAGCAGCCCTCCTGAATCCTTCCACTGAGTATTCTCTACCTTTTGCTGCCTCTCTTTCTCTGTCTCTCATGAATGAATGAATAAAATCTTTTAAAAAAATATGCTCCTCCTCTAGGTTTGTTTTTTATTGTTATTTCTGTTTTACTGTCTCTGTTCACTTTTCACTGCAGGTGTAAAGCATTCTGACTTCTGAGTGCATCCCAGCATCTGCACTTTAGGCAGCCTCCAGGCATTGTGTCCTTTCTCCTAAGCCCCAGGCAGCTTTCAGTGAAAGAAAGCCCAAGTCCATCTGGGATCAGCAGTCCTCAGGGTAGATACTTACTTACATCAGGTTTCCTTGCCTCTTCTGATTCATTTTTCCTTTCACTTTTGTTTACCTTTAAGGTATATCTTTACTTTCTTGGCAGCACAGCTATGCATTTTTTAAATTATATTCAACATTTTTTTGTTATTTTTTCATTAGGTTTATTTGGAACATCTCCATTTTTTTTCAAGCTGGAATCTTTCACTGTAGATGTTTCTTCTAAATAGAGCAAACATATTTTGCTATGTGTTCCAATCTAAGAGTCATTTTCTCTTAATAGGTGAGTTTATCCCATTTACTTTTATTTAAAGTTTTTTTTTTAAAAAGGGCACCTGGGTGGCTCAGTCGGTTAAGTGTCCAACTCTTATCTCCGTTCAGGTCTTGATCAGAGGGATGTGAGTTTAAGCCCAGTGCTGGGGGCAGCCTGGATGGCTCAGTGGTTTAGCGCCGCCTTCAGCCCAGGGCGTGATCCTGGAGACCCAGGATGGAGTCCCAGGTGGAGCTCCCTGTATGGAGCCTGCTTCTCCCTCTGCCTGTGTCTCTACCTCTCTCTCCCTGTGTCTCTCATGAACAAATAAATAAAATCTTAAAAAAAAAAATTAAGCCCAGTGCTGGGCTCCATGCTGGGCGTGGAGCTTACTTTAAAAAAAAAAAGAAAGAAAAGTCTTTCTAAAGTAGTTTGCAGAGGGAAACATATTATTTTGTTATGACAAAATGACAATACACTAGTATCCAATGGGAAATTAACAATTCTGGATATGTGAAACTAACACTGAAAAAATGTAAAAATCTCACTATCTTTTAGATATATATTAGTATCCATGAAAGCTGATATAAGCAGATGACAAAATGCTCCAGTGCATGGGAAAATAAGCCCCACACCTTAATATGGGAACCATTAAAGCAAATGTTAATATGATGTTTCAGTGGCTACATAAGTGAGAAGCAGCCAAACTGTTAACTAAATTTAAACAGATTCCCATAGAAAAAAGGCAGAGAAAGCAAATAGAATTGTAAAAGCAGAACAAAGCAAGTTGCAAAATCCAATGACCTTGAATAAACTTGTAGATAAACAAATGGCTCCATAGAAACTGGTACAACAGATATAGAAAAATAACTCATGTGAATGATTTCCAATGTCATGTTTGCTTATTAAAAAAAAGCAAGTGTTCACTGATCAATATGCACAGCAAGCCACAAAAATGAATTCTAATAGAAACTGGCATCCATGAATACCGTAACTACATGACATGGAAGGGAATAATTTTAAAGGTATCAGATATGTTACGTTCTTCATCCTCAAAACCTATATAATCATTTCTGTTGGTATCTGGATTATGTACTTCATCTATGACATTCACCACATTAAACAAGTCATCCGTCCTTTAAATCTCAAGCTGTTAATAGTACCATTATTTATTCCACTTTTAATAAATGATTGAACTTTTGTTTTATTATGTTGTATTTGCTGTGTTTAGCATCTTTTGGGCCCTATCCTCACTCCAAGTCTGTATTGTTTGCTCAGGTAGTGAGCGTGCACAATTCCACTCAGCAGCAT